GAATGGGTGGGGTTGGAGGAGATGCCGGCAGATGCAGAGGAAACAGGGCATGTAGAAAACAAGGTGGATGAGAAGTATGGGCTGATTTAAAGTGTAAGAGCTAGCCTGAGCTATCAGCCAAGCATGTACAATTAATATCAAGTTTCTGAGAGGCTAATTGGGAACTGATGGGCAGGACAGGAAATATCTGTCTACAGGCAGGCACCTATAATCCCAGCCCTGGGAAGACATAGAAAGATCTCTGGGAATCAATACCAGCCTGCCTTATCTAATCAGGAAGCCCAGATCCCAAGAGAGCTCCTTCCTCAAAAACAGTGTGGATAGCTCCTGAAGAATGACATGTGAGGTTGACCTCTGACCACTACGTGTATACATACACAGGTGCACATGCCAGTAGACACACATGACAAACAGCAAAACACTAAAACGTTAATGATGTACAACAACTAAGATTGCCTAGGACTTTCTATATGCCATATGCCATGCTGTTACCCAATTCATCCTTAAGACAAATCAGTGAGACGTCAACTTTACTGTCTCCCTCCCCCACCATGGTTCTAACCTGAATTACACAACAACACAGACAATGGCTATCACAATTACACCTCCAGAAAGGCAGCTACAGAACTTTCCTAGTTCACACGCCCAACAGAGAGATCTGGGATTGATATCCAGACTCTGTCCCTCCAGAACACAAGCTTTTAATGATGTATCTATAGCCCTGGTTCCCATGAAGACTTTCCATACTTTATTTTATTATTTATTTGTTTGCAGTATCTATATCCTTAACGGGAGACAGTTTGTGAGCCAAATCTTCCGCTGTTTTCAAAACGAAATAAAGGAGGACTGGAAGGAAGGAAGATTCAGCCTTGCTTGTGGGAGCAGGTGTTGGCTTGCCTGGCACCGCAGGGAAAAGCTAGGAATCTGGCAAAAGCCATTCTAACAGGGTGCTCTCTGTTTCCTTGTCGTTGTGGTTGCATCTTCAAGGCTGCATGGGGTGCTGGATAGCAGGCATGGATTAATCTGGGAAAGGACAGTAGACCCTCACCCTGTGACTCTGGTGTGTGAAGAGGGAGCCGAACAAAGAGGAGTGGAGAGGCCAAGCGGTTAGCATTCACTTCCCAAGGCTGCCCAGCAGCACAGGGTACTGAACCCTGGATTCTGTCGTCCTACAGGGGGCGATAAGGACCATAAGGACACAGAATGGACGAGACCAGTTGACTCATCGGTAAGAGGAAAGGAGGAATTTGGCTCCTGGGTTCAGGTGTAGAACTGAATGGACAGCAAGGCTATCTGTTAAAAGAGAAAATCTAGGAGGCAGGACAATGGCCAGAAATGTCCTCAGTGAGCCCAGGGTGTGGGGCCGCCATGAAGCAGCTGTCAACAGCTCAGTGGGAACTAGGTGAGCAAGGTTTTAACTGTACTGGTGACTCGGTCTCTTGGTCCCTTTGTTAGCCACCGAGGGACAGGAACAGTGTCTCAACTCACTTTGATGCTCACTGTATCCCTCAGAGTGGCTGCTCACCAGCCACTGGCTGAACGCATAGATACAGCCTTGAGTCTAGGGAAGGAAGGGTAAGATAAGGAACAGAAAGCGAACCTCAGTGAAAGCGAATGAAAATGGTAGAGAGAGAGAGCCAGGAGCCTGAAAAACACAACACTGAGCACAATGGCTACGAGCACGCTGGGCTTGGGAAATGAGGTCCCCTCCACTCTCCCCCTCACAAACCATTTAAAGGACTTAGAGCACCAAGAAAGAATGGAACAAAGGGACCCCGTGATGGGTGAAGTGTTGAAGTGACACTGTGGTGTAACAAGAATGTATTTCTCTCCCAGATTTACTGAAAACGTGTCTGTCAGAATAGAGGCTAGATCACTGGCAATAACAGAAATAGATCATTTGAATAGACCAGTTACCCGGGCCAGAACAGCTGCATGTGCGCCTGAGGCGTTTGCCCACCCGGAAGCTTCATTTGCCTATCAAATGCTGGCTCCCTGAAGGACTCAAATGGAAGATCGCAACTCTGCAGGTTTTTGTTTGTATTATCTCTGAAGCCAATTTCCTAAGAGCCAGCAATGTATTCATTCCACTTGTCTTCACCAACTTGGAAAGTGGTTGAGAAAATCAGAAGTTTCAAGCCAGCAATTCCTGGTTTGGGAAGAGGCAGCAGTGAATAGAGGCATTTACTTTGTCTCTGGGCAAGTAAGCCTTTCTCACCTTCATCTAGAGAATTGGAGCTAAGAAATCTAAAACACATCATCCCTTCATTGATACGATAATCCCACTGGGCAAGAATAAGACCACTTCCACAAGTTTTGAGCCAAAATTTGAAGCAAGCTTTATTAAATACTGACCAGGACGATGGACCCTGGCCAGGTCCATACCTGGGATTCCCTGAGAATGGCACTGAATTCCATGAGACAGGAGTTTATAAAGGCTACATACTTCCTACATTTATCCAAATAAGGGCATCCTGACACACTTCCCATTCACATGCCTCCCACCTATGCGTGATCGAGCACATCCTGTGCAGTTGGGACAACCAACCTTGTTTACATAAGTGAAAACTCATGGCCAGTTATATAAACAGTCCCCAGCATCCCAGGAAGTTATCTGCCCTTGGGCAAGTGGGGCTTACAAGACTAGAGGCATATTTTTTAATAGAACTCTTAAGCACAGTAATTAAACCTTAAGGCATAACTTTTGCCCTCACAAATACCCCTTCACGGCAGTTAATATCCATTGTCATCTTGATTGGATTAAAAAATACTTAGACGGTCCAGAGAGACAGCCCAGTGATTAAGAGCACTCACTGCTCTTGCAGAGGACCCAAGTTCAGTTCCCTGCACTCACTTTGGGTGTCTTGCAATAGCTTATAATTCATGCTTCAATGGGATCCAAAGCCTCTGGCCTTCTCAGGCAACTGAACCAACACAGATACACATGCATAAACATAGTTACATTAAAAAACAAACAAACAAAAAACAGGATGTGGGGGTGGGGGACACAGATCCTTGTGTTTGCACAGTGGGCACTTTACCCACTCAGCCATCTCCCCGGCCTCCTCACTAGTTCTAAAACTTAGGGACCTAATCCCACAAGACAGCAATCAAGATGTCCACCAGGGCTCGGTTCTCCTAAAGGCTGGGTTCTCATCTGGGCGTTCGCCCACACTTACAGGAACTAGGAACATGCAGCTCTTATGGCCACAGGATGCATGGAATCTTCTTTATTCAGTGCTAATAACAAGAGGGATGGCATACGCCAAGATCCCACATCTTTAACATACCCGCATTGTGTATAATCAAGACTTGGCAGATGCCCATACTGAGGAGAAGGTTTTTATACACAGGCGTGGTGCGGGACTTTTTGTGTTTGGTTGGCTTTTCAAGGAGACAGGGTTTCTCTGTGTAACGGCTCTGGCTGTCCTAGAACTCATTTTGTAGACCAGGCTGACGGCAAATTCACAGATATCCACCTGCCTCTGTCTCCCGAGTACTGGGATTTAAGCAGTGCACCACCACCACCCAGCCCAGGGGTGGAGGTGGGGTGGGGGTTGGGGACTCTTAAAACAGCTGTTTTAAGTTATGAAGTTCTTCCCACCAATGAGGTTTTGGCTGGAAGAAGATGGACAAGATTGTCTTCCAATAGAATCATCAGTTGTAGAATTTTTGAAGATCATTTGGTTTTGATTTTTCTCTTACTGGCTCTTTAGTCACTGGGAAAAAAATGGGTTTCATAGCAAATCTAATGCCCTGCATAGAGTTCCTTCAATACAAACATGTGACACAATGAACTGACAGATTGCCCTAAGGATATACAGTGATTAATAAAACCATCCAAATGCCAGCGGTGCTTTGCAACTTACTTATCTTATCATTCACAAAGTCTTTCTCTTTTATAGAAGACCCGGCACTGCCCCGCCCATCTCAACCCTCAAATGGATGCTTACTCTCAGAACACATGCTCACATACCACAGCTTCTAGTAAACGTTCCTACTTAGGGGGTGATGTTCTAGTTGAAGTCCCTTTCTGAAGAATAAACTGCTGTGAGGTTCAAGTTTCTCAAACACTATCTAACCTACAGGAAGGGTGTTACAGTGCGTGTTACAAATATCTCCCAAAGGCTTGTGTGCTTGGTCAGAGCCTGTGGCGCTTTTCAGAGGAATCTTTAGAGGAGGGGTGGGGGGAATGGGAGAAGCAGGGCAGTTGGGATGTGCCATTGAGAGGATGCTGGGACTTCAGCGACTCTTTCTCTTCCCTCTCTGTCTTCCTCCCCTTCCCTTCCCCCTTCTCTCCCCCTTCCCCCTCTGCTCCATACCTCTGCTCCCATGATAGACCAGGCCAGCTATGAAACCTTGAAATATGATCCAAAATAAGCCTTTCCTACTTCAGGTTGTCTGCTAGGTATTTTGTCACAGTGCTGGAAAGCCGACTAACACACAGGGAAATGACTTGGAGATACCATCCCACAATTAGATTAAAGTGTGAATCAACCATGGAGGGCCTGCAAGAGACTGGAGATGTTTGTTCCAGCTTGGAAGCACATCTCTGTGGACCACTCTCTTCTCCTCTCCATGGGGAGACACAAGTGAGAGTCCTTTTTAAATATGAACCTTTGCAATGAGTGCTGAAAAGCCACATGTAAACAAAGGCCCGTGGGGCAGTGCTCTCAAGTCAAAACAAACAGATGGAGAGCACAGTCATGACTCTCTCTAGTCCTGGCTGCTCAAGAGGCTGAAGCAAGAGGATCACTTGAGCCCAGGGGTGCAAGACCAGCCTGGAAAACATACTGAGACCCTCTTATCAAAAGAACAAATTGAGAATAATAGGAAACAAACCAACTGGCAAGGCCCTCCATCTTGAATGTTTAAATGTTAAATATTCACACAAATGTTAATGAGCTTGCTCCCTTCTGGGTTTGTGACAATTAAATATCTATTACATGGTAACCATATACTGCCAAGTGGCTCAGTAGCATTGCTTCCTTAGAAGGCGATAGATTAATATAGTTTATTGGAGTATGAGGTATGAACAGTAGCATACACAATTGTATAACAAGTCTTCCAATTAAAGAGACTTACAAGCCATTACACTTCATAACTCCTGGGAAATCAGGGAACAGAAAAGCCATACACACATGCAGCAAAAATATTCTTCATGTGTACTAAATCCCACCTTAAATCAAAAAGACTTTCAGTGAGCTTCCCCATCTCACAGTTCTCGCAGATAGAGAGGATAAACTATCTTACATTTTTAAGGTAAGAAAGAAAAACCCTCCCCACATGAGCTTTACCATCGTGAAGAAGTATGAAATGTACTAGGAAGGCCTGGCTAGATGGCTAAGTGAGTAGGAGCGCTTGCTGTGCAAACATGAAGACCTGAGTTTGGATCCCCAGCACCCATGTAAAAGTCGGATGTGTCTTTGTGCACCGAGCAGAGCAGAGATAAGAGAATCATAGACTTAAGGCCACTAGGCTAGCTTAAAACTGTCAGGCTCCCAGTGAGAGACCCCACTAAAGAAAATAGGGCAAACAGCGATAGGGGGAAATGCCTCTGGCCTCCACATGGGGATGCACACCTGCACACATGTGTACACACAGGCACACACAAACACATATAAAGGTAAATAAATGTTAAGGTTGAATTATGTGTGACATTCAGCTGAAAAATATTCCCCTCCAAACTATCCCCCCACCACCTCTGGAACTGACCAATATCACCGTGTATTACAACAAGAGATTCCAGGTGGGATCAAGGACCGTGAGAAGGGATACTATCTTCACTAATCCGGGAACGTGATGCTGGGTATCCTTGTAGAAAGGAGATCGTGGACCGTCTGAGACAGGCACACAGCAGAGCTGGCACTGTGACCACAAGGGCAAAACTGGGGAAACAAGACAGCAAGGAATGTCTGCAGCCACCGCAAGCTGGAGAAGGCAAAAATAAATAAATAAATAAATAAATAAATAAATAAATAAATAAATAGAACTCAGCCCGGAGGAAGTGATCTCATCTTTTGACGTCCAGAACTGTGCGTGGACTCACTTGCTGCTGTCTTCGTCATCTGTGATAGCAGCCTTGGGAAAGCCACATGAGTGCTGTGAAGAAAAGAGTATAGAACAGAGTGGGAAGGAGACCATAGTGGAGACAAAGTCCCAGAGAGGAAAGCCAGAGACTCCCAAGGACAGCGTAAGAGCCCGGCGCTGGCAGACAGAGCGGGACCTGGTTCCCGAAGGACGGGAGATGGAGGTGTGATGGGTAAGTCCTGTGTATATGTCAATAAAGCACTGTTGGCCAATAGGGAAGCAAGATATGTGGGACTAGGAGTCCAGGAGGACTCTAGGTAGGAGAAACACAGGGAGTCAAGATGTAACCACCATAGGGGTAAGAAGCCCGGAAGCTTTTCTCCGGTAAGAGAAATACTTAGATTAACAATTGTGGAGTAAATACTTAAGTCAGAGCTAGCCAGTAAGAAACAAGCAAGGCCAACAGCTTCATAATTAATACAGCGTCTTGTGTGTTATTTGGGGACTACAACACAGCAGAGCCCAGGCAATTGGTGGGGAAAAACCAAGCGGCTGGCTAGGAAAAGGCTTCTCTCTACAGAGGTGCCTCACCTCGATGAGCATCCTTCCCACACAAAGATGAGGCCCGCACGGGATGAGTCCAAGAGGGACTAAAGATGAACTGGAGACAGGGAAAGACAGGTATTACTTAGGAGGGAGAAGGGGGAGCAGCGAGCTGGAAGGAAGCCCTGAAGGTGGGGGGTAATTATTTCACTAGACCCAAGATAAATGATAGCTGGGTGTTTATTGGGGAACAATTACACAGAAAGATACAAAGAACCATTGGAGCATTTCCCTGCTCTTCCTAACGGATCCTCTGACCCACCAGAAAGACCCAGGCAAGCCAACCAACTACACCTAACGCCTTGTGCTTCCCTCTTTCCCGCTTCCATCCGCCTGAAGCCACACCCAAATGGGTGTGGCCACCCTTACAGGTTCACAGACAAGATGCCTACAACATCCCAAATCATAAATCCATGTTTATGTTACGTTTAATATCCATAATGATCTGAAAGATCCAGCTAATCTCGGGTACAGAGAGGTTCTAAAGCTCACCCCAAGTCATACTGCAGGTAGGTGATTGAGCAAAAATTCAACCAAGCTTTCTTAACTCTTAGTACTAAATTCTTTATGCTATAATTATGAAAGAGACTTAAAAATGTACACTAGAATAAGAGTAAAGCTGGAACCAGATCAACAGTGTGGCTGTAAGTCTCTATAAGCCAACAAAGGCTCAGGCCTGCCTGACTTTATCTCTGCCTGATAAAGTCCCTGCGGAACACAAAAGATGATGCCAACCAGTAACTTGACCAGGGAACACAGGTTCAAAGGATAAATGCAAAGTAAGACCCTTTCTCCTCTTCCTCCCCATCCCCCTCCCCCTCGGTCTGGCATTCACCTAGGTATTGGCTTCTATCTCTAAACTTTTCCTCACACACACACACACACACACACACACACACACACACACACACACAGGCTTACGGTTCCCACATCTGTGTCCAACTTGGACCCTTTCCTTGGGGCCACACACAGCAGGCAGACTCTGTCCCCTAGAACTGGTGCTAAAGGATCACCTGTAGCTCCAGTCCGACTGATTTCCTTATCCTGGACTTGAAGATTAGTGAGATCTGCCATAGCTTACTTGATGACAACATAGCTATTGCTCCTTCTGGTGTGGGTGGCCACTAGGGTGCCAGCTTGGGCCCAGGACTGATCTCATTGTTTGCATTGTGGCTAAGCAAGCATCAAGAAAAAGGTTGAGGACAATTCAAATGAACAGTGCCATCTCTGGAAGAATTCCTGCCACTCCATCAGCACCAGCCAGGAAGGATGCAAGGACATTTCTACCTAGATGACCCGAAGGGACCACTGTGGAGAGATGACATTAGAAAGCAATGATAGCTCACACAGGACACAAACTTCTATGAGTGTTCTGCTAGCTCCAGACCCTACATCTAACCACTTTTTTGGGGGTGGTTAAGGCAGGGTTTCTCTGTGGTTTTGGAGGCTGTCCTGGAACTAGCTCTTGTAGACCAGGCTGGTCTCGAACTCACAGAGATCCGCCTGCCTCTGCCTCTCAAGTGCTGGGATTAAAGGAGTTCACCACCACCACCCGGCTTACATCTAACCACTTAATTGACTGACAAAGGACCCTGTGTAGAAAGGACTATCAGTGCTGGTGACACGTCTTTCACCGTCAAGAGCAGCTGATACAAGGGCTGGAACTCGACCTTGTCATATCCAAACACTGCACCCGGGAACTGCCTGCCATTCTTTCCCTTGTTTCCTTCTACAGTCTGCCCAGTGTGAGGAAATCTGGAATCACTCCTATGAGGTCACTAACTACAACCAAACAAGCCTACATCCTGACACGGTTGTCCCAGCCAAGGGCAACTTCAAGAAGAGTGTGGCAAGCTTTCATGCTGAGGCCGGTGGTGGAGTTGGGTTGGTCAGGGCCTGGCCTCTAGCTTGTAGCCTGCCTGCAGCTCTCCTGTGTGCTCAACTGAGTTCTTTGTGCCTTCTGATTCCTGAATACCCCTGCCTGGCCTAGCCTCCCAACCCCCAGTCCCTTTAGCGGTGCGGCCTCTTAGAGCCAGTTTAAATAATGCAGACATTAAAAGAAAAGACTCTGTCCCCATGTTACATGAGAGCACATGGATGATCAGTGAAGAGAATATTGTTGCCAGTGAGAAAAAGCTATTTTGATTATAAATGTTGACTGACTCGACAGAAGAGACCAGCGAAGCATGTGCTCTAGGGTTAAACAATAAGGCTAGACTAAAGAATGCTGCTGTCACTAGGGAGGCAAGCACACGCACCAGGGACTGTGCAGTCATCCTAGCGACACTGAAAAAGATGCATGATGACTCCAGGCTCAGATTTCACAGTTGGTCTTTATGAAGTGTGGCTAAGTCTGTCTTCCCAGGCTTGTTGGATTAAGCAAGTGTGTAAACCTCTCCCCCTACCCCCTGTGTTATCTTGGGTTACTGAGATTTATAATTCCTTGTTATCGCCATCACCCTAGAATCTCAGACCCTCCAAGATCTGGGTCTGCTGACCCCAAGGACCCTACCCCCTCTCTTCCCTCTTCCTAGACCTCTGCTTCTGCTACTCTGGCCTTTTCTCTTGAAAATATCCTCTTGCCTCGAAAACCACTTGCTAGCCTGCCTCACAGGGGTTCACCCTAAATCCACTCCACAGATTTATAGTCTAGTTATTTGGATACAGGTGATGGAGCCATAGCTCTGTGGTTAAGAGCATTTGCTGCTCTTGCAGAGAACCTGGGTTCAATGACTAGAGCCGACATGGTGGCTCACAACCATATACAACTGTCTTTCTAGGGAATCAGATGCCCACTTCTGGCCTGCATGGGCACTGACTGCATGTTTGCAGACAAAGCACCCCTACACATAAAAAAAATGTTTTAAACAGAATTAAGTTAAGAAATAAGGCTGTTTGGGAAAAGGACAAGGATTTGGTTCCAGCTATCTACAGGGGAGGATTGAACTGGATTGCTTTTTCTGACCTCTGAGAGTATCCACACACCTGTGCACATACATACATGGACACACATATACATAAAATAAATATTTAAGAAATATTGGGCTTATCTTCTCTTCAACAAGGCAAGCAAGCGAATGTCAACGTGCAGATCTTTGTGAAGGCCTTAATAGACAAACCTCCTGCCCTGTTTGAGTTCCTGTCCTGACTTCCCTCAGTGATGAACAGCAACGCAGAAGAGTAGGTCAGATAAACCCTTTCCTCCCCTACTAGCTTTTTGGTCATGGTGTTTCGTCACTGCAATAGAAACACTAAGACTAATAGCAAAACAGAAAAAAGACAAAACAGGGTCCATATCCGAGAAGAGCAATTGCAATGATAAATGGTCACTGCAGAGTGACCTTGCACTTTACCCAAGTTGAAGGCTGAACTAGGTCTACTGTAATTCTTTGGATGGCATTTCAAACTGGGATTGCAAAAGTAAGGAGTAATAAAGATGCATCCTAAATATTATAAAAACCCACCACTTAAGAGCGGCTTAATGGGGGCTGGAGAGATGGCTCAGTGGTTAAGAGCACTTGTTCAACATCCATACGGTGGCTCACAACCACCCATCACCCCAGTTCCAGGGGATCTGACGCCCTCTTCTGCCCTCCAAGGGCACCAAACATACATATGGTCACAGACACCCAGGCAAGGAGAACACCCACGCATAAACAAGAACCACGTACAGGGAAAAATATCGGCGAGCACCAAGCTCCAGAGGTCTGACCGCCCACTGAGCCCTTTGCAGCGAGGCAAGATTACTCATGACACAGCAGTCTCCTTTGGACCCAAACTGGGCTGTAGGTCAGGTTCTGGCCACCATTTCCTTCCCTAAGTTATGGAAAACACACTGGAAGTTTCAAATAAGAACAATAGCCATTTTCAGGATGAGAGAAACTTGTCCCCAACCCTGAGGACCCCAGGCGACGGGGGAACTGCCTATCAGAGAGGGTCAAGAGTGATCCAGCATGGAGAGGCTCACTATCCACAAGCCAGATCCTCACAGCTGAAGCATCTGCACAGAGCCCCAGGCTCGCCTCTAATGACCAAGCTGACTTTATTCCCTGTTAAACAGCTTTGTAAGTCTTGTTTCTGAAATAATTAGGAACAGGTGCGGAAGTCTGGCACTCTTCCTGCCCCCCCCCACCCTTCTGCACCTGCTGATTCTTGATGGCGATCTCCATATAATGGAAAGGAGCCCACGAGCATCTCATGGCCTGACAAGAAACCAAGGCCCAGGAAAGTGAGGGGATTTTCCAGCATCTTGAAGCAGGATTGAGTTCATTTTAATAATTAGCACTTACCAAATAACACCCCCTCCCCGACAAGGGGCTAACAGCATAGCAAACCCTTCATCTTAGGCCTAAATCTTTTTCTGTGGCTAGGATAACTTAGTCCATCCCACAATGGGGAAGAGAAATGCAACTCCATATCCTCTTTTAAGCCTGTGAAACACTCTAGTACTGATGATCTGTTACACAGTCTTAATACTCACTGAGGCTTTGTGGTGCTAACTCTAACCCCATGGTTGGGCCAAGTTCTTGAGTGACTCATGAACCACAGAAGCCCGACCTACCTATTCTTCCATACTGATTGTCACTTCTTTGATGAGGCTACAAACCCTTCTGCTGTGAGGACCCAACTCCCTAAGCTGTCACAGAGGCACGGAGAGCGTGGACTTAGCCCCTCCCGTTCATACCTCAACCTGCCAACCTGCTCTTTCCCAGCCTCTGAGAGGCCCCTGTACCTCAGTACCCTTTCGCCCCCCCCCCACTCCTGGAGGAGGAGGAGGAGGAAGAAGAAGAAGAGGAAGAAGAGGCACTGACTTCAAGCAGCTTCTGGTTTGGGGTCCTGCAAAGATCCCTCAGGCTGAAAAAAGTAGGGAGAGAGTTGCCTAATTAGAATTCAGTAGAGGGATGAAATACTCAGCAAACAAATTCAAAGCAGGATCTCCAAACACTACCCCGGCTTCCCTAGCACAGGCTTTTGCTGCCTCTGGCACCCTGATGCTACTGTATTACATTTTTAAAGAACAACAGAAAAGGTCTTTAACAAGACACCAAGTCTAGCTTGTAAAACTCACCCTTTGCGTTTGGGCACACATACACACTGCTTATTGGAATAATAAAATGTTTGTGTTACCTATATAATTTATCTACTTTCATTGTTCAGGAGAATAATGTTAAGTTACTTCTAAAACACCATGCAGCCGGGCGTTGGTGGCGCATGCCTTTAATCCCAGCACTCGGGAGGCAGAGGCAGGCGGATCTCTGTGAGTTCGAGGCCAACCTGGTCTACAGAGTGAGTTCCAGGACAGCCTCCAAAGCCACAGAGAAACCCTGTCTCGAAAAACCAAAAAAAAAAAAAAAAAAAAAAAAAACCACCATGCTTTCCACACACCCTATGCTGTTATGTTACATCCCATTCTGTGTGTCTCTTTAAGTCTTAGAGGCTAAAGACTCTTATTGCACTGATTGGGAATGCGTGGTTTAATTGTCAGACAAACATCCTCTGCAAAAACACCATGGGTCTGGAGTAGTGACCACAGGCTTTCTGGGCCTCTTTCCCAATAGCATTAGACATTTACTAACTAAGCCAATACGCGTTCAGATTAGCATCTCTTATTTACTTCTTCGAGACAGTTTCTCTGTGTAGCTCTGGCTGTCCTGGAACTCACTCTGTAGAACAAGCTGGCCTCCAAGTCACAGAGATCTGTCTGCTTCTGCCTCCTGAGTGCTGGGATTAAAGGCATGCGCCACCACCACCACCCCAACCCCCACTATCCTTAGGAGAATAAATGGTGTCGAATGAAGAATCCCTTATCAGAAATGTTTGGCCTTTTCTGCTTCCCAGATATGGGGCTATTTGAAGATACACTGTGTAATAACTTAGGGTGAGACCATTATGCCTCATATACGGCTTCTAAATATAGTCTGAAGGTACTTTTGTATAATATTTTTAGCATGTGTGGAATTTCCATATTGGCCATTATCTTAGGGTTACTATCTCTGTCATGAAACACCACCACCAAAGCGACTTGGGGAGGAGAGGGTTTATGCAGCTTATACTTCACATCACTGTTCATCATCAAAGGAGTCAGGACAGGAACTCAAGCAGTGCAGGGACCTGGAAGCAGGAGCTAATGCAGAGGCCATGGTGGGGGGCTTCTTATAGAAGCCAGGACCACCAGCCCAAGGAGGATACCACCCACAATGAACTGGGCCCTCCCCCATCAATCACCAATTAAGAAAATTGCCTATGGCCCAATTTTTTTTTTGGGGGGGGGTGGTTTCCAGACAGGGTTTCTCTGTGGCTTTGGAGGCTGTCCTGGAACTAGCTCTTATAGACCAGGCTGGTCTCGAACTCACAGAGTTCCACCTGCCTCTGCCTCCTGAGTGCTGGAGTTAAAGGTGTGCGCCACCAACGCCCGGCCTATGACCCAATCTTATGGAAGCACTTTCTTAACTAAGCTTCTCTCCTCTCACATAACTTTAGCTTGCATCCAGTTGACACAGAACTAGACGGGACAATTGCTCCCTTGCCAACTTGACTCACAAACACATCACCGTCAAGCTACAACTTTTCCTTTCTCATTCATCCCCGAAATCTCACATTAAAACATAACTTTAAACGTCCCACAGTCTTTATAAATTCATACACATTGAAGTTTAGCCCCTTTAAAATATCCAGTCTCTTTAAAAATCCAAAATCTCCCTCAAAATTTGCAATCTCTCAATTGTGGGCTCTTGTAAAAACTCAAGGTTTAGTACTTGCTTGTTTCAAGAGGAAAGAACCAGGGCACAAGCAGATCAAAGCAAAGCCAAACTCTAACAATGCAAACAGCTGGGCTTCTAATAGCTGGGATCCACTCACCGTCTTCTGAGCTCCTCCAGAGGGCATGGGTCACCTCTCCAGCTCCGCCCTCTCCAGCTCCGTCCTCTGCAGCGCACACAGCTTGTCTCCCGGGCTCCAGCTGGCTCCATTCCACTGCTACTGCTGTTCTTGGTGGTCATCCCATGGTCCTGGCATCTCTGCTGGGGTCTTCTGCTGCAACTGGGCTGCGCTTTCACCAATAGCCTCTCCTGGGCTCCCTTCAGGGACTCCAGCCCTGCCTCGCAATGCCAAGCCTCAGCTGCTCACCGTGACTCCTTCATGCCTTCAAAATCAGTATCACTGGAAGACTCTTACACTACCAGGTTCTGCTGCCCACAGAAAGTACAGCCTCGACCGCTTCTGGAACACAGCTTGTGTGTGCTGCCCCTGAGGAAACACTTTCCAAAAGACTTCACCTCAGTGATGCTCTCCTCTTAATCACAGCTGATTCTTTAGCTCCAGCAAAGCATAGGTTTTACTTTAGCAGGTCTGGTCTCTTGCTAATCAGTCAGACATCACAGACTCTTCATACAAAAGGTCTAGTAAAGTCTTTGCTTCTCTCCGAAACTTCACAAGTCAGGCCTCCATCGTCTGCATTGCCTTCAACAGCCTTATCTTCCAAGCTCCTACAGAACAGGCTGCTGAGATTTCAATAGTCAATGTCTTCCCACAATCCTCCCAAACACAACATGGTCACATCTCTCACAGCAATACCCCACTATGCTGGCACCAATTAGTCTTAGGGTTATTATTGCAATGATGAACACCATGACCACAGTGATCTGGGGAAGAAAGGGTTTATCCATGTGATGCTACCATATCACGGATCATCCTGAAAGGAAGTCAGGACAGGAACTCAATCAGGGCAGGAACCTGGAGGCAGGAATTGACGCAGACAGAGGCCATGGAGGTGTACTGCTTACTGGCTCTCTCTGAGTCACTCAGCCTGCTTTCTTATAGAATCAGCCCAGGGATGGCACCGCCCACAACGGATCACTAATTAAGAAAATTCCCTTCAGGCTCGCCTACAGCCCATCTCATGGTAGCATTTTTCAAATTAAGGGTCCCTCCTCTCAGATGACCTTAGCTTATCTCAAACTGACATATCCAGCCCAGGATGTATGTCAAAGAAATTGTAGATTCTGAAGCATTTTACAGCTTAGATTTTCAAAGGAGGGTACAGTGATGATTTACAGATACTCCCAACACTTAGGTGATAGGAGTCTGGACCTTTGCTGTCAAATACAGCAACTACTAGCCACAGTTAGCTGGTTGAAATGTAATTTGCTTGGCCTTTTAAAATTGTAGCTAATCCCATATGCTGAGTGAAGCGCCAGATGAAGTGATTACTTATATTGTTCTATTGTAGATGGTAAATGAGCCTCGCTGATGATACCAAGAAAAGGGGGGTAAAAAGATACTTTATTAGGGAGAGGGAAGTCACTTACATGAGAAGCCCAGAACTGAGCTCAGCGCTCTGGTCTCCAAACCTCGACCGGAATCCAAGGAGAGAGAGCTACGCTATCTTCCTCCCCTTTATCCTTGGCTTCTCCCACATACCTGTGACCACGCCCAAACAGGTGTGGTCAGTGCTGCAGGTAGGTGAGATCTCCCCTACAGTTCTATTACTAATTAGAACTTAGGAGTCGGATACTGGGGTAAAAACCTACAGATCCAAAGAGTGATCAGCTGACCCTGCCTCTCCACACTTCCTGAGCTGCTCGTCAGGTAGCTCGCCGTGATCACATAGTGGTTAGTACTCTCCACTGTGGAAAAGACCCTTGAATCTCTCTAAGCCCCTGCCTATTCATTCCTGTGTCTCTCTAACCTAATCTGGGTCCGCCAAAAACTCTATGGTTACTTCTGGATAGCTGAATGTTAACTCCACCCTCTGATTCAAGGTTTAACTTTATTGTCAGTTTTTCAAGCATCAAAGTGCCATCAAAATATCCCACAACACCTGAGTCATATAAAATTTGGCTTGGGTCATACCATATTTACTTCATCAATTCTACCTTAACATTGGGACTGACGGTGTATGTTTTTACTCCTGGCATTTGGGAGGCAAAGGCAGGAGGATTTCTGTGAGTTCATTGCCACCCTGGTCTATATGGCCAATTCCAGGGCAGCTAGGACTATACAGACAGATCTTGTCTCAAAAAAACAAAGAATTCTATGTTATTGAGCAGCACTTCTCTTAAAAGTATATCAGCTTTTACAGAACTTACAGATGTTCTTTACCGTCAAGTTACAAAACAGTGACAACACAACAAAATTTGATCCGAAAACTTGCTTTGGTTGTAACCTGTAGTGAGGATATACAGAAAGAGCTAACTCTTACCTAACCCTGGAGACCTTGTAACCCAGGATCTCTGTCCCTTGACTCAGCACGGTGAATGGCCCTGGATGGACTATTCCAACCACACCCCTCCCAAAGGCAGCTGCACATGCTAGAACTCCATGAAGGCTGCTTTAAGGCAGTATGGAGGGCAGAAGAGGGAGGTATGTTAGTGCTCAGTGCAGCAGATACTCCAGCTAGTCCACAGCCTGGTACAGACGGCACTATTGTCCACGCGATTAGCAGGAGGCAGCAGAACCGCCTGGTTCTCAGGGGTTCGGGCTTGATATCACAAAGTTCTCAAGTCTAAGGTATTCTTTTCACAATACACATATGAGTTGTTAGATTTGTATGATCTGCAGTGATATTCAAATTACATACTCACATATGCCACACTCCTTGGGAAATTCCTACAATCATAGCTTCCAATTAAACCATGCCTCTCCACGCTCCTGTGTTTACTAATCCCTTCCCGCCTGTGGTGGTTTGAGTAAGAATGACCTTCACAGGCTCATATATTTGAATGCTTATTCTCCAGGGAGTGGAACCTTTTGAAAGGATTAGAAAGATTAGGAGGTGTGGCCTTGTTGGAGGCAGTGTGTCTCTGGGGATGGGCTTTGAGGCTTCAAAACCCCATGCAAGACCCAGTCTGTGTCTCTCTGCTTGTGGATCAGGATGGCGCTCTCAACTACTTCTCCAGCAACACAGCTGCCTGCGTGTTCTCTGCCTTGATGATAACGGACTAAACCTCTGAAACTGTATGCTAGTCCCCTATTAAAGGTTACCTTTTGGAGCCGGGCGGTGGTGGCACACGCCTTTAATCCCAGCACTCGGGAGGCAGAGGCAGGTGGATCTCTGTGAGTTCGAGACCAGCCTGGTCTACAGAGTGAGTTCCAGGACAACCTCCAAAGCCACAGAGAAACCCTGTCTCGAAAAACCAAAAAAAAAAAAAAAAGTTTTCTTTTGTAAGAGTTGCCTTGGCCATGGTGTCTCTTCACAGCAATAGAATGGTGACTAAGACACTCCCTTAATGCTGGTCTTGGTCACATGACTTGCTGTAGCCGAAGGAACACTAGCAAATACAGAGGCTACATAAATGCTTGGGCATTGAAGCATGCCCTCTTTCTAGTCTAAGGCCAACACGCATAGTGAGGAAGCCCAGAATTTGGGAAGGAACTAGCTTTGATGACCCAGCTGTCACCAACAGTACAACACAGATGCCATGGTGAGGCCAGACAAGAGCAGTGACAAAACTTCCTAAAGTGGAAAGAAACTAGAAGATGTTGGTCCTCAAAGTCACTAGGTTTAGGATGGTCTCCTGCCCTCATAGACTGTTACATTTCTTCACATCTCATCAGGACTGGCGCAGCAGGATAGAAGGTTCAAATGAAGCTTTCATTAACTCACCAAGAATGATATTCTGAAAATACAAATGTTAGTATCAGTTAATGTTGATTGGGTGCTTTATTTCTTCTAAAACTGTGCATGTGATTCTGGGTATGAAGCTCTTTGGTAGGTTAATTTGTGCACAGCGTCTTTGCTAGCTGAGTTAGCTACCTATACTCTCAGTCTACAGCCCATATGAACCGTTATGCCGAGAGCAACTTGGCCAAATCTTTATCTCAAATTACTTAAAGTTTGGGTTTTTGAGACCAAAATCCTGACTTCTTCAGCATTTAAGAGCACATGGCAATCAGCTTAACATTGTCGTAACATCTATGCTTCTGTGTACGGAGGTTTTGTCTCTAAGCTTTTAGAGCATGGCAACCGCAAAATCAGTGAGCAGAGGGGATGGGGGGTGGCTGGGTGGTTAAGGGTGTGGGAACATAGTCCAAGAATGGAGTCATGTGGGAATTCTGAGTGCCTGTGAGAAAACTCTGAGAAAATAAGTGTCTTATGATCTCAGTGTCTAAACAAACAAACAAACAACCCTCCTCCCCCCCAAACCACACGAAATTGTTCTTGGAAAGTGTTTTAGTGATCCTCCCAGGTGTAGCGGATGGGAATGAGTTCACTTTAGATTATTCATTACAGCTGGCTATTATTTGTTCTATGCCTCTATGGGGAAACAGGTTTTTGCCACATGTAGCTTGTCCTTATCATTGTACACTCTATCCAGGTGACTCTTCTTAACCCCAGGAGTATGCTTTGTCTGATGCTCTGAATTAAACTGGCTATTGCATGAGACTTTAGCCTGCCTCATTTTTAGGCCCTGCTCTCCCAGGTTCATGCCCCTAACTAGAGCGGTAAACAAAGAGCACTGACTGCTCTTCCAGAAGATCTGGGTTCAATTCCCTCCACCCATATGGTAGCAACAACTGTCTGTAACTCCAAAGGATGAGACGCCTGCTTCTAACCTCCACAGGCACCATGCATGAACATGATATATAGGCGTGCATGCATGCAAAACAGCCATAGACATACATGACAATTTAAAAATTGATTAGTAAGCAGAGGCAAAAAAAAAAATGCTCTGTCCACTTTAGAAGAGGGAGATGCTGCCGGGTGGTGGTGGCACACACCTTTAATCCCAGCACTCGGGAGGCAGAGGCAGGCGGATCTCTGTGAGTTCAAGACCAGCCTGGTCTACAAGAGCAGGTTTCAGGACAGCCTCAAAGTCACAGAGAAACCTGTCTCGAGAAAAAAAAAGAAAGAAAGAAAAAGAAAAAAAAGAAAGAAAAGAAAAGGGAGGTGCTAAACTGGGTTGGACTGTTAGGAAATATCTTAGGGCTGAACAGTCTCTCATATTGCCTTAAGAGATTTTTAAGCACAAAAAAAAAAAAAAGGGCAGAGAAAGAGGGGGGTGGTTAGATTGTCTGTGCTGCTATAATAGAATAAGTGTGATTGCACCATTGACAAGCAATAGAAACTTATTCACTGAAGGCTGACATGTCCAAGATCAAGGGGCCAGCACATCAGTGTCTGGTGGGAGTTGCCTTCTTCATTGCAGAAGAGGCAGAGGAGCTCCCAGAAGCTCTTCAGGAAGGGCACCAATGCCATTCACGAGGTTGGAGTTCTTCTGACTCAATCACTTCCCAGGGGTCCTACCTCTTACACTGGATATTAAGTTTCTGTATTTGAATAGCAAGGGAAGGGGTGGGGATACCGATATTCAGCCAGTAGCAACAAGATGCATAAATAACGTCTGACTTGGCAGAGCACAGAAAGATGAAAGGCAAGCCGGAAACAAGCCAGTTTATCTTTTAGGACAGTGTAGGGAAAAGGGTCCAGCCAAAGAAACACACCCTGAGCAGAGCCAAAGGAACAGGCTTTGGCCCTGGAATCAGAGCCAGTGAAAGAAATGCACCCTGGCCCTAAAACTAGAGCCAAAAGGCTAAAAAGGACCAGAGAAAAAAACACACTTTGGCCCTGAAACCAGAGCCAAATCTGACCCTAACCCTGTGCAGAAAACTAACCAATCCTTGAGCAGGAGCTCTAGCCAATCTGAGCTCAGCATTGAAATCTGACCAATCCCCACCCTGGAAAACTCCACCCCCTAAAAAGCCCTATATAAACCCTGTGTCTGTTCAGTTTGTGGCTGTTCGGGCTGCCCAGCTGGTCTCTGCTACTCTGACAGAAGGCAGC